TAAGGCAGAAAACAGTGAATTTGTTGAGAATTATTAACATTTCCAACAGAATTCATGCATTGAATTTACTCAATGATATATAGATTGAATTTCGGATAGAATGTTGATTGTATTGTTTTATAATTAATGGTTATTGTACAGCAATGAATATTTTGAGACTAACAACATTCATGAATTTTGATTATAATTGAAGAGAATAATGGAATTTATTCAATGGACGATACATTTGAAAACTGGAGAATTCATTGACAATTCAAACGATTTGGAAATTCATTGCTAATTTGGAAAGTATTTAAATTAATTTGTACAACGGAAAGGGAATGGATTTAATCAATTTTTCAACATTTTTCGACTTTTTGGAGGAGTTTTATTAGAAAATTGTTGTTGTGTTCGCAGTACAATATTTGATGAAAGTCCCAATCGTACCCTGATATCTGCCAAAGAAGACGTTCAAACAAATTTCTTAGATATGGTTACTACAAATTAAATTCCCTTCAACTCATCTTTGGATTACAAGAACTCCACGTGTTTGGCATTTTAATTTAACACGAGCAAACTAAATTACCTATATTTATATTTCTTTTACCTATCTCCTGCGTTTTTGGTGTTTTTTCACTGCGCAACAAATTCCAATCCATAATTTTCACAAAATGTTTCACAATATTTGTTCAATGATTTGAAGGTGGCATGTGAAGCTCAAAAAAATTCAATTGTGCACACATAATGTAAATGGAAAATAACTGAGTGAATTTGGTATAGAAATAAATGTGAATTGGATCACTTGTGGCAAGTGTCAAGACTTATTTAACAAAATATTTTCACGCTTAATAGACCTGACGACAAACAAAAGCATACCTTTCACATTTTCAGCGTAATAAAAATACTCCTCATCTTAATTTAAAGATATTTCAATAGACATTCGGTTCAATTTAATAAGAATAATCATATTTGACTTACGAGTCATACTTGTTTCAGTTTATTTTTATCGAAATAATTAAATATTGTAATAAATTTCAAGACAATTTATGAGCCGTTCGAAAACACTTTTTTCATCAATTACGTTTAAATATCGCGAAATCTTCAGTAGTTCCTTGACTGAATGTCCACGCTGGCATTTTTTTCTTAAAATACTTATTGACATTATTCATTTGAGAAAAAGATTTCTTAAAAGATGGACTATTTTCAAAGCCATTTGTACGAAATTCTTTGACCTTATTTAATTCTTTAACACATTTAACGATATCATATCTACACCTGCTATCCACTTCCACTGAATCCAATTGCTCGAAATGATTGATAAAATCCGCAATGCGATGGTCAATTATATTTCCGCGCAAAACGAGCTTTTTCAGATTCGGCATATCAAATGATAAATCTCCAATTAAATCGTTCGTTTCATTAAATTTGACATCGAATGTGGTCACTGATGTCAAATTATAGATACGATCAATTCGTCTGAAAAATTCGCTGTTAACGTATTTAATTTTAAATATTTGTAGACGATTCAAATGGTTCTCAACTGCGCGAAGCGTCTCTGTTGTATGAAGATTGAGAGCAAGAGAGACTTTGGATAATTGTTTATTATTTTTGAAAATGTGTGCGAGTTGATGTTCTTCTATTGAACCAGTGAACAGTCTGATATCTTTCAAATTACGAACATTTGCCAAGCAGTTTGCGTTGGTTAGGCGAACGAAAAATGAGAGCGATTCCAGTTTGGGAAAAATTGAATTCAAATCGAATGTGGCTTTCGTAATTGGACCAGTGTATTTAAATCGTTTCACTTGTGCAAAACGCAGTTCTCCTCTATCATTCGATATTTCATCCCAAATGTTTGAATCCTCAAAAGTATTTATTCTAAATTCGGTCAATTGGTGGGCATATCGTTTGATGATATTTTCGTTTATATCACGACGCATAACGTCACTCATTCCACAGTAATATATATGAATTCGACGTGCGTTTTCACCAAAATGTTCGAAAAGTGATATTAGTTTGGCACGGTTTCCGGTTTGAATACATCGCTCGCCATTTTTATAATATTCAGAGGTTTCATTTACTTCATCCGGCATTATCGCAATTATACAATCTCGGAATAGTCGGCTCATTGCATTTTTCACCGCACCCGGGGACACGTGATTTTGCACTGCTAGTTCCACCGCTTTAATACCACCTTCGTACAATATATCTTCAATTATATGATCCGGCAAATCGGGATTTATAGTAACTGGATTGTTTGTACCTTCGCAATGGATTATCTAATTTTGAATGGAATTGTTTTTGAAATATTCGTGATAGACTGTATAATATTTTGCATATAAATATTTGAATGAAAACTTACAAATCCTTCGAAAAAGATTAAAGCCAGAGCTAATACGTGGAGAAAATTCATTTTTTCGTCTTCAAAATTTACTGCTTACAGACTTAAATGTCAAGACAAACTGATGACTTTACAGCTTTTTACATCGCTTTTTATTCATTTCAATTGTATAACATGTCTGTGTACCAGTAGTTGCTAAGAGATGTAGTTTGGAATTTCTTGCAAATATTTCAAAATAAGGAAACATTCAAAAGATCTGCTTTATATAGAAGATAAATTCTTATTTGTGCTTTAACGTATAGTGAACAAGATGAAAAAAATGAATAAACAGACTGTTTCTCTCGATTTTTACTTTTCCGCACACACCTAGTGTGAAAGGGGAAAGTATTGCAATTGGTCAAAATTTACGAAACTTCAAAAACATGTTTTCTGGACGTTTCTGAGGTCAGAGAACCCGAATCAGGCCGTTTTGAGCATGGTTGTTGTGGGTCTGTTCCACGTCGTACGTTGTCCGCCGTACGCAAAATTTGTCCATCGATTTTCTCACCACCCAGAAAAGTTATTTGAAATCTGACTTCACGGGATGATTGGGGGTCCCCAGGAATAGAAATCATCAGATTTTGAGCGA